TCTTTTTCTTTAAGGCATTTCTCTTTCTATAGCCTTGGTACTTAACTATGTAGGGTTTTATTCAAATATAACATCTTTCCTCTTTATACCATTTTCTTTTAAAGAAAACCTACAATATCTAAAACTTAAACGAAATAAATGACCTCTAATGATAATATAACCATAAAACATTATAATGCACAATGTTCACTCATGCAATGCAAACATTCAAACTTGATGCAAAAATTTACATTCTCAATGGTACTCTTGAGATGACATTCAAAATTACATAAACAAAAGTTTCACACCTGATGCTTTAACTTTAGCATTATTGACCTGCAACTCTACTACTATTAATCAGCAAGACCATCAACCAGTTCTTTTAACTTTATAGAATCTGCATCAATCACAACCTAAATTGTATCCTTGAAAATAGTACAATATTCTATGGAATACCATTTAACTCCATCATGGAATTCACACTTAGTATTGAGATCCTACCACTTCAAGTTAAGGAGGTTTTTTGGGTCTTATAGGAATAACAAAGATTATATGATTTTTAACAAGGTAAAAAGCTCAGCATAAGGCATTAGGAGTAAATGATACAGCTTGACTCTCTTTCTTTTTTTGCTTTATGAATGACTTAGGTTAATCATTTATTTTATGATTGTTTATGGTAGAAAAACTAGAGCATGTAGATGATGTGGTTGAGAAAAATTACCAACCCAAAATGTTTGTTGAGAACAATATGGTGACCATTGGGAATAGTCATTCATTAAATCTTTTTGTATCGTAGTGATATTTCTCTCATTTTACCATTCAACAATTGTCCCTTAGGCAAATTTATCATAAATATTTCTTTACATTTCATTATGAATTTCCATATCAACATCTATAATTATTTCCTTTTTTATCTCATTCTCAATTTTACTTATAGTAAATAGCAAATTGGCAAATTCTGAGGACATATTACCAATAAGTTTATCATAATAAAGAGATGGAAAGGTATCCATAAATAAGAAAATCAACTCCATACTAGTTAAAGATGGTTAAACTTGCAATGTAACCTCTTTTCATCTAGCAACATATTCTTTGTAGATCTCATTAGGGCTCTATCCATATTTTGAAAGGTTAATTGGTTTGGAGCCAATTTAAACATATGCTGGTATTACTTCAAGAATGCTATTGATAAATCTCTTCAAGTACAAATTTTGCTACTCTCTAGACTATAATACCGATTGGTTATTACCCCAGTCAAACTTTCTTGAAAGGTATGAATAAGCAACTTTTCTTCATCGATATACCTAATCAAATTGTGATAATATTGAGCTGAATGTGTCTCAAGACATCTAATTCCATTATACTTCTCAAATGTTGAAATCTTAAACTTGGGCGAAATAACCACATCTAGAACTAGTTGATTTTTTTTACATTAAAAGATTTATCTTTACCTTTAACAGCTTGAACTCTTTCTTCTAAGAAATTATACTTTGTCTGTTCATTTAGATTTTCTGACTCCTCCTTTATAGGTCTTAAGCTAGGTCCTTCAAGTTGATCTTTTTCTTGAGCACAAAATTCCTCGATAATCCTTTCCATCTCTTCTATTAAATCAATATTCTTCTAATCATTCATAGAAATCATAGGGATTACTCTTGAAGAAATTCTTTCTCACTTTTTTTTAGAGCACACATGAATTACATTATATTAAGTTGATACATGGATGAATGTGTCATAACGTATAGATTTATGGACCTACCACTAGACATGGATTAAAGGGAGTCACCACCAATCTTTTTTGTTTAGTTGTGATTAACCACTTAAAACGGATTCTGATATGCGAAATCAAATTTTAGGTTTGAGAGTACGGTTACATATGAAAAATGTTATAGACCTTCACAACACACATCCTACTAGTTTGATTTTAAATTATCTAAGCCTTGATCATATTTGTAATTTACCAAATTATTTAGTATTGAAAATTAGTCTTAAAATTGTTTCAATAGTGTGGTAGCAATTTAAGATAATTCTTTCACCTCAGGAGTATTCATAGAAACTAGTATCCTACTCTAAAGAGGCTCTGTCATTAGATTTATTGATATATTTTATTCAAAAAAATTAGTAAAGTCCTATAATAGTTTGGTAAGCTTTGCTTTAAGATCGATCTCATAATAGTTTAGTGAGATTTTATTTGAAAATATTTGTAAAAATGTTTATAAAATTTTATTTTATTTTTTCAAAAAAATTTTATTAAATCTCCTAATAGTTTGGTAAGATTTAATTTAATAAACAATCCCCCAATAGTTTGGTAGGATAAAAAATGTTTTTTTTAGAAACTGATTTATGACCTTCCCTTAATTTTTTTTTCTACAATTTTTACCATTAAAAATTAATTCAATAATAATGTATAAGATAAAATACACAAATAGTCACTCAACTCTAAGGGTCTTTTTAAAATAATCACTTAAGTATAAATTTTTTAATTTAGTCACTTAAGTTTAAATAAGTATTTTTTTTTTTTACATTATAAAGTTACGTTAAATCGTTATAAAGTTACTTTATTATATTAAAAGAAATATAGATAACAAAATAAAATAAAATAAAATACTTTATTATATTAAATTTCATAAATTACTTGTGATTAAATTTTTATAAAGTTAGGTTAAAGGTGACATTCAAATATTAATAATTTCACAAACATTGATGATCAAAATGTAAAAATTTAAAATAGTTACTTGAATTTATTTGGATTAACTAATAGACAAATGTTTGAAATAATAATATTTTAGTAAATTTGGAAATTGATTAATATTCATCTATATTTCAAAATTTAAATGGTGTAATTATAATAAAATAAAAATTCATAATTTAATTTCATACAATAAAAATGTTGAATGTTTATTTCTATTTTTTTTTTTAAATTTCAATGACTTATTTGAGTGTTATTCCAATATATTTCAATAGATAACCTAAATAATAAAATAATTTATTATATTAAATTTCATAAACATAAGTGATCAACTCATTATAAATTCACATGACACTGTGACAATGAGCCATTGACAATGAAATCAAAATATTAATAAATTTCATATTTTATAATGTCAAGATTTTAATTATAATAAATTTATATTATCTATATTTCTTTTAATATTTTATTCCATGAAATTAAAATTATAAATTTTTATTGTAATTAGAATCCTGATATTATTAAATATGAAATACTTAAATTTATTTAGATGGACGAAATCACAAAATTTGAAGTAATGTTATTTTGGCAATTTTGACAATTGGATAATATTCATCCATTTTTAAAATTTAAATGATATAATTATAATAAAAGAAAAATTTTATAATTTAATTTCATGCAACAAAAGTATCAATGCTTATTTCTTTTTCTTTATAAAAATTGAGGAACTATTTATTGGTGACTAAATTATGAATTTTTAAAATTTAGTGACTAAAATAAAATTTATTACAAAATTAAGTGACCGAAATTTATTTATTTTTTCAAAATTTGTAATGCTACATCAATAATGTTACACTTGACAACTAATGTGACACTGTCATGTCAATACCCTGTTAGTCATTAATGGTTAAATGATAAAAAAATATATAGTTAAATTTAAGTGACTAAATAAAAAAATTAATACTTAAATAATCATTTTAGAAAAAACCCCTAGAATTGAGTGACAATTTATATATTTTATCCTAATATTATGTATAATATGGCATACATTGTCTAAAGAATTAAGATGCATTGAAAGAGCACTTCGACTTAATTACACTTTGATTATGATATTTTTTTTGATAAATTGGGTATTTTTGTTGGCTTTTCCCTTAATTTTATATATTCCTTATAGTTGAGAAACAAAAATAACATTGGAAAAATATGATCAAATTTTTTTTTAATATTTCTGTATATGATATGGAGCATTTAATCGCACTATTATGTTTCGTGAAAACATTTTGATTATCTGCTCTAAAAAGATCTAGTCTAATTCGTGAAAACATTAAATGATGCAAGTGGTATCATTTAAAATCAAATCTAAGCTAAAGGCACAAGGCAGGCAGCATGGTATAGGAAATAATTAAGATTTCTGAATGTCTTTAAGAATCAAGTTCATCAATGCCATAGAACCGACAATTCAGCATTGGTCAGTTTCAAGACTACTAATGAATGATTACGGCATTTTTTCGATTCATGCATGGCGATACGATTCATTCAATTTGGCATAGATAGTTGGATAGTGAACCATTTTCAGACATTTAAATATTAATTGTAGTTATACTACTTGTTTTCGATTGGTCCAGAGATATGGATGAGAATCATAACTTGTACTTCTATCTCTCCATTAATTAGGTTCTGATTATCAATGAGCCTTGTGGAAACATTCACTACCCAGACTATATTTTTGTGTTTAATTATTTCATCATTTAACTTTCCTTTTTTTTTTTTTTTATCAAGCTTGAAGAACCAAGTATTTTTCTTAAAAAAAAGTATTTTCTCTTTCCTCTGACCTTGTTTGATTTTGACCAATTGCCTCTGGCCATGTTCCATTGCTCAGATTGTGAGGTGTCCATCGACTGATCTCATCTCCTAAATTTCTTTGGAACAGTACTTCAAACAATTTAAAATAGTTGGAGAGTTTTTTTCCTCAAATGGCAAAAAGGCAAAACATGGCAGGCAGAGGATCTACATATGGTAAGTCGTGACCAAGCACATAGATAGATACCCTCCAATGGATTTTCAGCTTCTGGCTTAGAATTTGATGGCCTGTTTGTTTGCAACTTGAATCACTTTCTTCTCTGAGACCGAGAACCCAACTTCATATCATCATTACCTTATATCTCAGGTATCAGTTAATTGATTTCGTCTCTCTCTCTCTCTCTTTTTCTGGTCTCAACTTTTGAGAGATGGGGTTCTTTTGTTCCTTATAAATTGACCTGAAATGAGCTATACTCGTCTTATCTTTTTTATCTTTGCTAGGTCTGGCTCAACAAAAAAAAAAAAAAAAAAACCCATGGAGAGGAACAGTTTTAGTAACAACTTGAAAGACCATAGTATTGGCAATAAAGCGATTGAAGACAGTAGTAGCAACAACAACAACAACAACAACAACAACAACCAGACCAACTACAAGTTTATGGATTCAAATTCATCATGGAGCAGTAATAATCAAGGTTTTGGGGAAGATTATCTAGCTGGGTTTTCATGGCCACCAAGATCTTACACGTGCAGATTCTGCAAGAGAGAATTTAGATCTGCTCAAGCTCTGGGTGGTCACATGAATGTTCACAGAAGAGACAGAGCCAGGTTAAGACAACATTCACCTCCAAGGGATCATGGTCAGCCCCCTTTTCTGAATCTTAACCTTAAACCTAACCCTAATTTCTCTTCTTCATCCTTGGTTTCTTCTCCATTCTCTTCCAAAGTACCTTCCCGGCTGGTTTCTCCTCCTCTTTCTTCTTTCTCTTCACCATCTTCTGCTTTCCCTTGTGAAATGAAGAAATGGCGAGTGAATGGTAGCCTCATCGATCCTTTGAGATCAAAAGGCTCGGATTCAACCAACGTGAAGCGTGCAAAATCATTATTTGGGGTCAAAGAATTCAAAGATTATGGGTGTAATAATAACTTCCTGAAGAAGAAGACTGAGTTTGTAACCTTGGACTTGGAGATCGGTCTGGTTAGTGATTCCAAGGAAGATTTGGATTTGGAACTTCGATTGGGATACTCTTAATTAGATGAATTTGTTGCAGCTTTATCAACTAATAGTCAAAGACTGGGTGGTTTTCAGTTTTTCAATTTGGCATATTGATCACCAGAGACCAGTGTCTGATCATTTATAAGCTGCCTTTATTTTCCATGCACCGGGAAATCAACTCAATCATGAAACTGCAAATATTGCATAAATATATCTATCAGTTGCTTAAATGTAAGAATGTTATAGCTGAATGTATTAGTCTGTCATCACTCTCATCATCCCATCACCTTTCCACCACAGTAAGAATTAATCTACCATGTAGTAGTATAAATTAACTATATGTATTATCATCATTATTTTTTATTTTACTTGGTTTAATTAGAGTAGAGGGTGATTTTTATTTCATCAAATTTTATAAAATATTTATCAATCTCTTAACTACCTTGCTTGTAGAATTAAAAAATTACACTGATGGTATATAAAAGCAAACTCTTCTTATTGACTTTAGTTATTAACTTTGTTGGTGTGTAAAAAGACTCTTGTTAGGTAAACTGTGTACTTAACAACAAAAACAGTTGGCTTAATCAAATTTTAGAACGAAAAAGTAAAACTGTTCAAGATCAGGTCAGCCTCCTTTTTTGTAATTAGAGAAAACCTGATGATGTTTTAGTAGTGAATATGCCTAAGAAAAAACGTGGAGAACTTGTATGATTGATTATCTTAAAACCCTTAAAAAAAAAAAAAAAGTGGTCATGGTAGCTTGCGGGTTAGAAAATAGAACTAGCTCCTTTTTATAGGTAAGGATTAATGAATATATACAATTAAACCACTCTCCCCAAAAAAATTGGCTGCCTAACCAAAGAGAGAGGTGAGCGGCAACATACTTGGTAGTTGACAAAACAATTGAATCGAAATGGCAATTAAACACAACAATAAGATAAAAAGGAAAAAAAAAAAAGGCAAGATAATGATATTGTGTTTATGCAAATGAATCTTTGTTTTGATTTCGTATATAATTTGTAATGAACATAAGCAAAGATGAACATCCATTACAAGTCAAAAGTCACAACATATTTGCTTGCTAGACAGGTTTCCAGAATTGCATGCTTGGTGCTACAATTAGAGTATGTTGTTAAAAGGAAAAGCATGACACTTTTTATTTGTTTGGTTCGCTGGTGGACGGATTGTCATATTATTGAAAACAAAATTTGTAGCTAGTAAAATAGGGAAATTTTGACTTCCTGGAACTTTTTGAGGAAGTCATTTTCCATTTATACATTCACTTATATGCTACATTATTTGCAATCACCAGTGCAGATGTCATTATTGGAACGAAGTTACAACACCACATGAGTGTATACTGAACACAACCCATAATGCCAAATGCCAATTTCATTACTTCCAACTTTTTTTACAATTATACTTGAAAAATACTCAAAATAAACTGGAAATGTTAACTATTTTCTTATGAAATTTTATGTACAAGTAAAAGTTATAATCACAATCAAATAATATTTAATATATATCATAATAAAAAAAATTCAATATAAAATGAGTAAATAAAATGAGAAGTTACACATTTGAGAGGGGAGCGAATGAAGGATTGAAGATAAATCGGAGCAATCCCTATCATTCACATGCTGATACCAAAATGGTTGCCATGTCAAAACGACATAATAAACAATAAGATGATTGAGTGGTGAGAGATAGATAGGGAGGGTTTGCCTTTTGGAGGGTTGTTTAGATGCTATTCCCAAAATCTGATGGTTTGCATGTTCCCGACATTGTCTGGGTGTCAAATGGTATGATTGCTTTTCCTTAAAGGGTATTATAGGTCAGTTCAAAGCATTGCAAAGAACTGATAGACCCGAACTCTTTCCCAACGTGGCATTCACTCGGGACAAAACATTCACATACTTACAAACCACTCCGTCCCCCTTCCCCAACCCGTCTGTCATTTCATTTTCATTTACACTTCAGAACTTTTCTCATCCTAATTGGGCGCCCATACACACACAAATATATATATATATATATATATATATATACAATCAAATTATATTTGTATCGTTTTGAGTTTAAATTTTTTGAATTCAAATTTTTTAATTCGAATCTTTGATTTTCTTAATCAATCTAAATCAGATCAAGCTTGGTCACAAATTGATATGGACTACTTTTTAAATTCGATCAAATTTTTTTATAAAACAAATGTGATTCATATTCAAAACAATTTAAACATAAAATGATTAAAATTCGAAATAATTTGAAGCTAAAACAATACAAACCTAAGACCAATCTTATCCGAAATTAAACTATTCTTTGCTCCTTTGCTCTTGTTTCTATTGGTTCGTTTGATCTTAGTGAGTAATTTCTTTCTGCTGTGGAGCTTTTTCTACTGTCTTCATTTAGGTGTTTCTTATTGCTCTAGTGATTGTATTTGCTAGTAGTTGTTAGCTTTGCAAACTTTTGGTTGTTTTAATAAATTTGGCTTAGAAACAAATAACCAAAAGAAAAAAAAAATTTTGAGCTATAATTAATCCGAAATCCACTAGATCCGACATTAGAGAGTTTATTTGGATATTATTCATTTTTTTTTCTCAACCAACATAAGCTTAATAAAAATCTCCAAGCAATGAAATTCGATTCATAAAAAGCCGCCCAAGTAATTATTCATCCCACTAAATTCTTAGGCCCAAATGATTGTCCAATGAACAAAGCTCGGCCCAAAACACACTCAACTAAATTACGATTGATTTCAAAGCATATAAGCAAAATAATAAAATAAAATAAAATAAATAAAAAGGGGAAGCTTTGATTGATATTTAAAATGAAAACATCTTCAATTTGAAAAGGCCAGTTGGAAATTATTACAAATCGCAAAATGACATTAACATACAAATTTTTTATAGGAATTTGGATAAGTTTCTGTGGTTGTTTTATGATATGTTTCTAAGGACCTTACAGTCTTGCTGATGGCCAACTTCTTAAATTGATGTCTCTGAAAGCAAAGTTTTTGTTTAATTTTTTATCATTATCATTCTATGTTCCTAATCTATTACTCTTTGTTCTTAATTAAAACAGCAGTTTCAGCAAATGTCAGTTTCTAAGACTACTATTATTCTCAAATTCTTTGATCTTAATTTTTTTTTCCTTTTTTTGAATAAATAAAAGCTGTAAACTAATTAAAAAGAAGAAAATGCTATTTCAAAAAATAATAATAAAAAAATAAATTACAAGTATTATGATTTAAAACTTAAACTTATTAGATATTATTTTTTAAAAATAATTATATAAATTAATTGAATTAAGTTTAATTCTTCAATTTCTTTCATTAGCCAATTGTTTCCTTGGTATTTATTTCACAATTTCTTATATTTACCAAAATGATAAGAGAAATAACTTTTTTTTTTTTAGGAAATAAAAGAATTGATTAACTTAAAATGAGATAAAGTCATATATATTTGCATGTTATCATAGGTTTAAAACCTTTATCGAAATTTTAGAAAAAATTCAAGCAATTATTTACCAAACTTGTTTTTCCTTTTAAAGTACAAGAAGCATTTTTTAATTAAAATTTATTAAAAAAGAAAGCAATAAAAAATTACGGCCTAACAACCAAATCAGAATTTCGATGTACCCCATCTTAGCGTGGGAGTCAAGAAAATGATTGGCTTCTCCAAATACATGAATAAAGAATATTTCTCATAAACCCAAATATAAATTATACAATTTGTTAAGAAGAGTGTTGTATTTTATGTACTGTCAATGATTTTGTTTAACCAATTAGAGATCACTACTTTAAAGTCAATTTCAATTATAAGTTCGGATGATACAAGAAGCATATCTATAACTTAATATAAAAGTTGTTTTCGTTTTGTATTGAAGTGGACAGTTTAACAATGTTAAAGAAAAAAAAAATTCAAGGATAATTTTGAAATTAAATAAATTTCTCTAAAAGTTTCATCTGTCTTTATTCTCATAGTTTTTTTTTTCTTCAAAATCTCACTGAACTTTGGTACTTTTGGCGCCACCAGCTTCTTTCCCTGTCATTCCTTGGATATCATTGCGTGACTCTCGATTTTCGTGGGTTCGGTGACAACGATTCTCCTCCTTTGACGGATTCATACACTGTATTCCATATCATGAGGGATCTCGTGGGCATCGTCAACTCGCTTGACTTTGACCGAGTGTTTTTGTTGGGACATAATTAAGGTACGGTGATTGCTTGGTATTTTTGCCAATTTGGACCTGATAGAGGTTGCATGGATAATTTGGAAGAAATCAGTTTCACAAGCTAATAGATCTTCGAGGTTTCATCTCTAAAAAAAGGTTAAGAGACAAGTTGCTCTTTTTATATTTATTTAAGAATTTTTTTCTTTTTATTTTAATATTGAATTTACTTACAATCGCAAAAGAGAAAGAGCCAGCCCTCTCAATCTACAACGACCAAATCTTCACATCTTTTACAAGTAACCTTTAATTATTGCTTTTTTTTTCCCAATCTTTTCATTTAATCACTTTGATTCTTGTATTTTTTGTTGTTCAATGTTTAAAGATGGTCATTTTTTTTTTTGATTTATGCATGATAATTTGATCTTTTTTTTTAGGTTGTTTTATATATATTTTTTCTATATTTAGCTAAAAACTTAACACTTTAGTGCTATCTAAATCCAATAAAACATTGATTTTTCAATTGAATTTTAATCTTTATAAGTCCAAATTGAAATTTGTTTGCTCTGCGTTTATGAAAAAAGCATTTTGGGAATCTTAGTCTCTACGCAAGCCAATCATTCAACTATTGGAAGAATTATTGCAAAAACTATATTTTTACCATATTTTTGTTCGAAATTTATAATTTGAAAACTAACTAAAAATTATTATCTAATTAAAACAATATAAAAATTGGTAGCCACGCTAATTTATTTTTCTTATTTGCATTTAACTAATCTTTTTGATTTTTTTTTGTTTACTTTTCTGCTATTATATTTGTAACTTACTTGCTTTGATTGTTGTTTCTTAAAAGTATATACTTTGATTGTTGCTTTATTTTTGTTTAAGCATTTGCACAAAAGCACCCATTTTTTTACTATGATGAGTGCTTGCTTATTTTTGTTTTTATTTGGTTTTCATTGTGCACATGCTTGCTAATTGGTTTTTTAATATTTTGGTATGAGAAACTAAAATTTAAAAGTAAACTATGTTAAAAATACTAAGATCATGGGGCTTATTGATTTATACACTATTCCATAGCTAAATTAATCAATGCATGTAATTTTCTTTTAATACACTATATTTAATTGACATGTGGTGATTGAAAACAAATTATAGTCCGAATTATAAATTGGATTAGTTCAGTTAGGATTTCAAATATCCTGACCATTGTATCTAAGTTGTTTACCATAAACACCTCATTTAGTTTAGAATTTAAGTCAATTGATTTTGGTTTAGTTTCAAATCTGAATCAATTGAGCTCAAACATAATTCAAACTCAATTGTTGAGCTTTCTTATTTTATTTTTATTTTATTTATTTTTGTTCTTTTATTTTCAATTCTATTGTCATCTGTATAAACTTTTTTATTTTTGTGTCTTATTATTGATGTTTATCTTTTGAGTTGATTATTTAGTTTGATTTATCTTGTTTTTTATTATCTGATCATTTAAAAAAGAAGAAGAAGAAGAAGAAGAATAAATTGAAAAAAGTTTGAGTTTGAAATTTGGCTGGTGATAAATCGGAATAGGCAATAATCTTTGGTTTTAAATTAAATTGGAAATAATCTTGTTAAGCATTCAACTTAAAAGCAAATAACATTAAGTGAAGAAATCCAATTTAAATATAAGATTATAAAATATTTGAAACTCTTCTAGTTTAGCTTATAAATGGACGGATGATTAACAAGGCAAAAACACAGAAAATCAGGAAAGAAACACACATAAAAAAAAAAAAGAAAAGAAAAAAAAACAGGGAGGAGGAAGGACAATCAAAGAAGGACCAAGCTGGTGGCGTTTGGCCAAAGGTTAAACCTTTTGTCAATGGTGGTGCCTCTGGAATGCTGGCCACCTGTGTCATCCAAACCATCGACATGATAAAGGTGAGAATCCAACTGGGTCAGGGATCGGCAGCAACTGTCACCTAGAACATGCTTAGAAAGGAGGGTGTCGGTGCCTTTTACAGGAGGCTATCAGCTGGTCTACTCAGGCCAGCTGCATAAACTACTGCTTGACTGGGATCATTCAAAATATTGACAAGCAGAGCAATTGAAGCCAATGATGGGAAGCCCTTACCTCTATATCAGAAGGCTTTATGTGGTCTGACTGCTGGTGCTATTGGAACCTGCGTTAAAAGCCCCTCGGTGGTTGGTGATGCTGCTGGTGATGAAGAGTCAGTTAGCAGGGGCTTGTTTACTTAAAAGAGAAAGGTAGATGAAAAATACGAGCGAAGAAACGAGAAAAATAAAGAGATCTGATGAAGTTAATAAATTGATTTGAGGGATTTTAGTTCAAAGGCTCACATGCTTACAGATTCCAACTTAGTCCCACTTTGGTACTTATTTGTCTTTAGATTTCTTATTTTGTGATTCTTTTATTTGCTTTTTTTTTTTCACTTTATTTCGTGCATAGTTTTAGGTAAGAATTTTTATTATTTGATATGGATAAAATATATATTATTAAATTAAAATTTCAAATAAAAGCTTTTAAACTATAAGAAAAGTGTATAATTTTTCCAAGAATGAAAGTCTAAAAATAAAAAAATGGTTGATTATTAGAAAGTTTTAGGAAAAAAGTTTTCTTTTAAATTTTCTAAAATTATGGAAAATTTAGATGAAAATTTGAATATAAAAATAATTTACAAAAAAACAAGAATAAAAATAACAAGAATCTAATTCTTGAAAATAAATAGAAATTATTTTGATGATGAAATTTTAAAGATTACGAAAAGATATTTTCCAGAAAATTTTAGATCAGAGATCCTTTTAAATTTAACATAAATGGAAGAAAAATTTAGATAAAATTTTGATAACAATAATTAGTATTTATTTTCAAAGTACAAAAAAAAATCTAAATAAATTTAATAAAATTTTGGGATTGAATTAACAATTATCTATGATTAGATTTTTAAAAATTTCAAATTGTCAATTTTTTAAAAAATCTCTAGATAAAAAATCTCTATAAATTTAGTTCCAATAATGAAATGATTTAGATGGAATTTTAATAAAGGTAATTACATTCATTTCCAAACCAAAAATAAAAAAAATATAACTAATAAGCTTGTTTGAAATATATGACAATTACCCAATTATGAAATCTTAAGAAAATCATAAATTATTGAATTTCTAAGAGGGGTTTAGGTAAAATCTGAATTCAACCCAAATGGTGAAAGAATTTAGATAAGATTTCAAAAATAATGGCATTTTATTTTCATTCTTAAAATTAAAAAAAAATAATGCACAAAATTCAATAATAAGAGTCTAAATTCTAAGAAAGATATTTTTAAATTTAAAAAATTTAGATATATCTCAATATAATAGAAATTTAGATGCAAAAAATTTACCCAAAATAAAGAGTAAATTTTGATGATGAAATTCCTAATAATTGCAAATTGATGATTATCTAAAAAATTTCTAAACAAGAAAATATTTTTAAATTTGACCAAAATGGTGAAAATTTTAAATATATTTTTAATAAAGTAAAATTTAATTAAAATAAATGATCAAGTCCTTGTTCGACAATGGAGTCTCATCCAAAAAACAAAATAGGATTATTGAATATTCTTAAGGTAAGAAAGTATTTTTAAAAATTTTATCAGATTGATAGATAAATCTTAAAAGTTATTTTCAATATTTAAACATTAAATTTAATAGAAGACCATTAGAGCTAAGATTCTAAGAATAATTTGAAATTAATTAATACCATCTTTTGGACGGACATGTGGGGGTGCAATAACTTTTCTCATACGTAACCAAACTTTCAAACTTAGTTTCAAAGCGTAGATCGGAACTTATTTTTCAGAAATCCTTAGGCAAGCTTAGAATTTTCTCAAAAAAATAAATTTATCTAGGTGATTAATCATATTTCTAATAAAAAAAATTAGTGACAAATCCTTAAGATTATATCTAATAATAAGTCGACGGATTTATACAATATAACATCTACTGAGGTTATTATTGTAGCAACTATTGTAGTAGAACCTTGCTATAGAGGAATCTGATGCTAATTCCTTTTAACGTTATTATTTTTTTTTTTTGGTAAATAAACAAATGTAGTAAATGTATTATCTTATTACTGACTTCTATTCTTCATTCATAAAGGTAGCATTCGTAATGTGAATTCTAAATTAAAGCAAGAATAACAATCAAATCAAGCTTCAAGAAGAAACGGAAGAAATGAACATCTAAATAAGTTATATTTAATCAAGGTAATTATAGTTGGTATTTATTTAATTCATTGCTTGATATAAATGTTTATTAGATATAATATTACTTAGTTTTTACCTTCTGATGAGCCTAAATTGTACAGGTACAATGGGGATTAACAATATCTATTGCTCTATTTTAACTGAGATTCACGATTTCATTATGGTTTGTGAACTGTTTGTTCTTTTCTGCTCTTTGTTTTTCTTAATATCGAAAATGAGGAAAATTTATGCTGAGAATTGAAGATAAAGGCTTGGAGAGGTCGACATGGGAATTGAAGCAGGCTGTGCTTTCAGATTTAGCTTGGCTCAGTCTTGACTGGGATGAAGGTATTGTTTATCCGCTTTTATCATCATTATCTTCCTATTTTAGTTAGTTTAGCTTGAAATGTATCGCTGCAATTTTACATGTATCATTCTGTTTGTCACTTTTAGAATTAATAAATTTTGTCCGTTACTATGTAGGCCCTGGTGTGGGTGGGGACTAAGGTATTTATCGACAATCCGAAAGGAATTTTATGTACAAGCAATATGCTGAGAAGCTCGTAGAATCTAGTCATGTTTATCGTTGTTTTTGGTCCAATGAGGTAATTGCTTTCAACTAAACATTATGAATGGAAAGATATTTAAATGGAACTACTTTTCAGTTTCAGCTGATTACCTCTGGAAATTGGATCGGAAACTATTTCTGTAGAGACAAATATGCAAATTTTTGGGTCTTAAAAAACATATCCTATGATCCAATTGAACTATAAATAGCATGATTTTGTATCTCTGAACTATGATCACTTTTTAGCACTCAATTTATAAGTTCTTTCTTAATCCTCTACAAGAACTTGAAAAGATGAAGGAGATTGCAGAGCTAAAGAAACTTCCTCCTGGGAAGTGGGCCACTGCAACGGATAAAGAAGTACAAGAAGAGCTAGTAAAGGGAATCCCTTATACATATTGCTTTCATATTCCAAAAGAAAGGAGCTCGAAAATTAATGACCTTATTCGAGGTGAAGTAAATTCCATTTTTTGCACTATTTCTTCCTTAATGGCCTTATGCCCAGTAAACTGCAATTTGTTGTCTATAATTTGAGGGGTTTTTTTGGCTTAACAGCACCATTATGTTTAAATTTCAGTGGTCCTTTTACAGTAGATTATATAATACTTACCTTTAATTTATTTATGCAGGCACTAACTTTCTTGAATAGTGTCATGAAGGTTACTTAAACTTTAATTTAGTTATACAGGCACTAACTTTGTTGGATAGTGTCATGAAGGTTAGCTAGAAATTGCAAGCACTTGGAGATTTTGTTACAATAAGGAGAAATGGCCAACCTGTTTACAATTTTTGTGTTACAATTGATGATGCTCCCATGGCTATATCACATGTTATAAGGTGATTAGAAAAGTCTAATTATTTTACCATTTTACTAAATCTAATATCGGTTTTATTTATGATCTTTTTGGTCATCTATCTTCACACTCTTTATAAATTGGCATTTCAGAGCAGAGAAGCATTTACCTAATACTCCAAAGCAAGCCTTAATATGCAAGGTAATCTTAAAAAGCATCAATTCTTTTTTCAATGTTTGGTGGCTTTTGGAGTTTCTGATTTCTTTTAACTATACGAGGAAGTAGATCTTTGGCATTTAAACAATATTTTGCCACAAGCTCTTGGATTCCCAATGCTTTTCTTTGCTCATGGTTTCTTTGATTCTTACACCTGATAGAAGTAAACTGTCAAAACGTCATGGTGCAACTTCAGTTGGTCAGGTAGGTAGTTATCTTCATTCTACTTATTTTCACAGCAAATATTGCCAAACAAATGTTATCACTCTGATTTTCTTGGGTTCAATAAGTGTATCTTTTAAATTGAGAATTAAAATTCTCCATGTTTAACAATTACCTGTTCTAAATCAAAGAGATGGGGTATCTACCTCAGGCAATGGTGAATTACTTGGCACTTTTAAGTCAGGGTGATGGAATTGAAAATGAGTTTTTCACCATTGAGCAATTTGGAATAGTTGACAAGACTGTATATCAAGGAAATAGTGAGATTGCATAGTATTCTAATTATAATAGTATCTCATAGAGATAATTGACTTGTGTCCAATCTTGGAGAGGTGCTTACAAAGCTTTGGAAAACTTATAAAAAAATAAATTTGTGACATGTTTGTTATGTTTGACATTGTTAGTGAAAATTATATTGAAGTTCATTTGCTCAATCATCATTCAGAATTAAAAAACATGTATTTTTTATATTCCTTCACGTGGAACTTTAGAGAGTTTATACTTTTTATAATTGCACCTTACTTGAGAGATGAATTAAGATTGAATATTGGAAAGTTTGTAGTACAAAACTTGGATTGGAATGTATTTTGACTTGATTATTAAGTAATGATTTTAAGAAATTTCAAGGATGCTTATTTGAATATACAATATAAGTTTTCAAGAAGTATATAATATTAGTCAGAGAATGTGTTCAATTTTGGGTTCATGACATTTTGAATTGGAAAGATTAAATTCTTTTAAGGTGGGAAAGATGTAATACCCCTCCCAAAGTTTTTGTTTTATTATTTTTATATTATAAAAATATTATTTTATTATATTTTACCTTGGGTGTTTTAATTTTGGTATGTTGGATGAATTTGTGAAAGGGACCAAATTGTAAAAATAAATTTTGAATGATTTTGGCAGCAAGAACTATTTTGAACAATGAAAAACTATGAAGAGTCATAGTGTAATTTACCAGATTTTAAACCTATTGTAATACATTCTTTTTTCTTTAACCGAAAAGAAGAAAAATTGTTTCAAAAAAAAGAGAGAGCAACAATTAATGGCGGTTACTATGTTGAGATTCTAAAGTTCCATGGTTTTAAGGTAAGATTAAACTTCATTTTTATGAAAATTTTGGTGTTTTGTTAGTTTTCTTCATAATCCAACTTTGGGTTTCAAACATTTCAACTTCCGGCAGCATATTTGATACTTATAGGAACTCTCTTCAAGACCTTTCTAATAGTTTTTATAGCATCTAATTTGGTCGTTTCTTTTAGGACTTATTAAACTTTGAAGTTGAAAATAAAATGGGTATTTGACAATGTTGATGATCCCAAATTAGGTCACTGGAAATTCACTTTTTAGAAGTTATTTAGGTTGAAACTAGGGTGTTAATTAAAGTAGGAAGTGTCCTCTTTAACGTGGTGGTAATGGTTTGTTAAATGGTTCTTTAAGAATGAAGAACCGAAACTCCAAAAATCCATTTCATGAAACTACAAACCCAGAAAATCTAGGTATGCAGTGACTGTTTTCAATTTTTCCTCTAAAACTCTTGATTGGTTCCTTTTTGACTAAAACAAAATTCTACATTATATTACTACATGCATACTTGAAAATTGTGTTTTGATCCATCACTAAAGTCGATTGGAGTTAGGAGATAAGTTGTCTCAAAGCCAGTCCCTAAAATTATGAAAGATCAAAATTTGAGAAAAATTCTTTTTAATTCTTTTTTGAAAGTTATTTTTGTTAGCTTTGATTCATTTTCATTAGAAATAGCATGAACTTCAGTTACATGATTTTAGTCAAATTTTATTTACTATAAAACTATTTTTCTTAAATTATTTTTATGTTGGTAACCTTAAGGAACCATTTAAGTAAATTCAAAGTTTGAATTAAGTCCTTTAAATAAATTCAAAGTTAATGATTTTTCTTGTTTTCTTACTTTAATTTCTAATTTTCTCTATTTTTGGATATTTTCCATATTATTAGATAATATATTTTTAATAAAGAAATATGTATTCAAATAATTTCAATTTGTAAAGGAAGTTGCCACATGCCTTAGATACCTTAGAATGGCCATCGAGAAGTTGTATCTTGTTAAGTTATTATTTTTGTTACATTGTAATTTTGAAATACTTCTTGAATTATTAAACTATTAAGAGATTTGAGTGAATTGCTGGTTTAAATATCAATTTTGCAATTAAGTAAGTGACTTGATATCCTTTCGGTCTTTATATCCTTAAAAATCAGCTTTAGTATATTTAGAGTTGATATATATATAATATATATATAATTTTTTTGTTATGAATTTGGATATGATTTTGTATTTCTTTGATCTCTGAATATAATTTCATAATAATATATTGATATATCTATTGATTTTTTGAATACAAAAATTTTCTTTGAAATGATATGCGAAATTTGGTATATACGAATTATGTTTGAGAAAGTATATGAATATTGATTTTGTTTATGTTGAGTAATTTGAAAATATGTTTTGGTTTTGTTTCCTAGTATGGCTATGTTCTGACCCTACCAATGGGTGTTAATCGTTGGCCATGTCGATATGTATTTTGTAATATAGATATCAGTTTCAAATCGTGCCATCGGTTAAGAATAATGGTTTTTGTTCATCATACCACTAGTAATATATTTCTATCTCATTGTACTATAAGGATAATTTTGATTCTGATCTATGCTATAGGGTTAAATGTGGTCGTAATATGTTATAAGAGACTAATAAAATTTATAATTTTGTGGTATTTTATTTTGCTTTATGATATGAGAATTTGATTTTGAGAATCTGGTTTGTGGAAATATGGTTGTGAATACAAGATTACCAAAAATATTTTTGAATCATTTAGTTAATGTTTTGGCCTAAATGTTTTGTGGCATGCTTAATCCAACTGAAAGGATGTCAGTTATTTATTGAGTCATCGTACTCATTCTTTTAATTTTTCTTATTTTCAGATTTTGATATTTGTGTCTTCGGGACTTAGTTTTGACAAGAGATCATATTGCAAGACTTCATCTATTCAATGTCATTAGATAGCTTGTAATTTGAGTACCTTGATATAATAAAATTAGAATAATGTTATATTTTTCTTTTCAATCAAGTGTAACACATGAATTTCAGAGACTTGATCTTGTAAATTGCAATTTTTCAAGACCTTTTGGAGTTTGATTTTGAATTGGTAAGGTATTTCGGAGTTTGATTAGTATGATATTTGTTGCCTAGCATGCTTGTGAAATTCCTCTGATGAGTATACGACATTGTTACTTCCTCAATCTTTAGGTTTAGGGCGTGACATATAGCTATAGTGTTCTTTACTTTTAGCTGTATTGGATATGCCATGCTTATCATACTATGTGCAACGATTGTTGCTGCTTGCCCTACATAATTTCTGTCCGTAGTTTGTGAGATGATTTTTCACACACTAGAGGAGCCACCGTGGAATCTATAAATGCATTGCCATACTACAAGTTTAAATCCAAGAAAACTGGAAATGTAAATGATTAGGAAAATTCTGCTGGTGAAGGTGGAGTGCTGGCTGTGGGGACACCAAAGAAACATGTGATATTAGGAGAAGATGCAATAAGTTTAATGCTAGGAATTTGCTAATAGTTTATTGGTCTTTACATGTAAACTGCAACCACTTAACCTGCATTCAGAGTACTTGCTAGGACCAAACTGGATGAAACTAAATAAAATTAATCATATACAGAAAAATGAACTTTTTTAGCATCCTAGCCGAGTTGTCTCTTAATGTTTCTTGCTGCATTCAGCTATATGTTTGCTCTGCTTGACTTCTGGTGTCCTAAAGATGTATGACTTTATAACTTGACATGAATATCTCTTTAGTCACATGGTTGGTAGATACATAAAATAATTATGGTACATTGACTTTGAGGTGCTTATGAGCAATATTTTATCTTTGCCTGTCCTTGGATTAATAATACAACTTACTAACTTGAGATGTTGTAGGTTTGTTGTACTTGCTTGGCAAAGTATGCAGAGTTGAGGGAGCTGCCGTCCATCCACTTTTCAAAAATTAGCTTTATTTTTGTTCTTTCCCCTCATTTGACAAATTATAAAACCACCGACCCTAAAGCATTCTTCTCAAGAGCCAGATTGGATTTTTAGCTGTTAAAAGCTTTCAATCTTTCAATGCTAGAATTTATTACCAACTTTTTAATAGAAGGCCTGTTGATTCAAACCTTTGGATCAGTTGACCCTTTGAATTGCTGATGACTATAAAAGAATTATTTACTTAATGGTTGTAATCTCTGTTGAAAAACTGTGCAGTGTAGAACAGGTTTGAAAAATAATACATAATTTTATTTTACTTAGATAGCTAAATCACAAGTATATAATTTTATTTTACTTTCGTGATGAAGTGTGAGCTTAAAACCTAGTATAAGGAAAAAAAATTAACTCAAAAATTTAGAATATAACATTTAATTTTAAAAAAAAAACTAGCAAGCCAAATTAATTTGGATTGCTCCAAACTTTAGTGTCTGTATATATATTTAAAGTTATCAAGATTTGAATATTTAAAAGTTTAATATTTTATCAACAAATCATGTAGATGTTGACTTTCAAACTTGAAGTTTACTTATAAATATATAGTTAATCATAATTAATAGAATTAATTTTGTAGACATTTCATTTTATGCGGGATTCTTTTCAGGATCAAAAAATAGGTTTCGATCATAAATTGGGTTTGATTGAAAGCATTTAATCCAATAGAAAAAATTTTAATTTTAATCTGATTTGATTTAATATTTTGTTTAATTTTACTTTTCCTCAAAAAGTCAAAAAAAAGTCATGAGGTCCAAAAAAAAAAAAAAGGAAATAAAAAAATGAGGGACTAGATATTTCATCTCATATTTCATTATGAATAATTTTTTAAGTTAAATTCATACAATTAATCACATAATAAAATCATAATCCCATATTTGATTTATTTTTCAGAATTGAAAGGGATTCAAGTCCTGTAAATCAAACACGCAGAACACAAGCAAAAGAGACCATCTAAAGTCCACGTGCTTCAAACTTGGTGCATACCAAACCATTTTGCTAGGAAATTTCAAAGATGTAGCATGTAAGACAAAATGTTGAATAGTTGACCAAATAGTAAATCAATTGGGCCTTGAATTTTGGGCCTAGATTTGGATTAGGCTTGGAGTTTGCCCTAGAATAATTTTGGGCATGCCTCCATCTATTAAAGTAATTTTTATATTATATTTATTTTTATATTTATTCATTTATTGTACTTTTTGTTATCT